TGAAAATTCCTCGACTTTTCCTGGCACTGCAAATGGACTGCTGCAGCCAGAGGGAATACCATCCGGAAACCTCAAAGATTAAAGTGGGGAAATCGCAGTAAAATCTTCAGTAAAATTTAGAAAATATAAAACATACATCTAAATAACTTTCAGAGATGCACGAATATACATATAATTAATTATACATATGTAACCAGGCTACACTGTTAAAATGGTCTATTATTTATTATAAATCTGAAATAACAGATGTCATGGGAGTATTTATCCCAATTTCCTTGATGCTGTTTTTAAATAAAAAGTTATTCCTAACATATGTACTGTGCCCACACCAGACTACCAGATTGAGCCTGTCCCAGCTGTTATTGGGTGAGAGGTGGGGTACGTCCGGGGAATTAAACCGGGATCCTTGTTTCCATGAGGCGACTGTGATAACTTTTGACATATGTCCAGCGTTAACTTTTGCACAACTTGTTTGATGCAAAGTTGTACTTTCAGGCTCTAGTTAAAAACTAAGTTTACCAATTATTTGTGTTATGACACTTTTGATGGGTGGCATTGGACCTAACGGCATTATTTTTAGGAATGCTCTCAATCAGTTGCCCTGTTCGGTTGAGTTGATGGTTGAATGTCTGCTTTTTGCCATCACAGTGTCAGTGTGAAGAATGTTTGAATTCTGAACTTGTGCAAAACACCTTACTGATCAAAGAAATGGAGGCACCATCTTGCAAAGACAACCAACAGCATCTTAGGCATGTGCCACAAAAATAACAATTTTATATGTTTTCATATTTTCTTTCAACTAGAAGAGGGTCCCAGCAGGAGGAAGTAATTTGATCTTGATACAAAGAACAGACGTGGGACACAATATGCAGTTTCTTATATCGCTCAAATCCACCCTTGAGTCAATGTTTAGTTTTTCAGCCATGATTATTGTCCTCCCGTGGTTAATGTTTCAACCATGGTGATAAATGCCACAATATTTTTATAGCCTGACCAAACCTTAGCCGCAGCTTTGTTTCCCCAAGAGGATTTATTTGCTATTATTTGCAAACATTCTAGACATCACTGATAAATGATTGCGTCTTGCATCATCAGATGTGGCCTGTCCTCAGAAAGTGAGGGATGATTTTTCAACCTTAAGGCTGCTCAAGAGGAAAGAAAGGACAGATATCTTTTAGTCAGTAAATGAAGACTCCAGGCACTGAGAGGGGAAAAAGCCTTAAGTGTATTTGTGTTAGGATGAAGAAGTGGTTGTGTGTGTGATTGTTTGAAGATGATCCGTCTCAACAAAGACAGGCAGTGTCACACAGGGGGGTGGAAACTGTATGCGAGTTGAACCCTCCACCCACAAACTTCTGTAATTACTCACAGTCTCCCTCACACTCTGGATCTGTTTCTCTCGTTATTCTCACTTCACTCCTGCATGTTGGCACAGAAACGTGCAGTCCTCACACCGAGCTGTGCCCAGCTGACGGTTAATAAGCCGTCAGCCTATCGGAGCTTGAAATCGAACCCAATTTTAGACGCACAAAAATTTTTTAGACTGACAAACTTTTCTTTTTTCAAAACAAACGTCAGCTTTGTATCGGTGGGAGAACCTATAGGCGTGTGTTTGGACCACAGATGGCTGGAGAGACCGCACTTTTCGTCTTTGTTTGCACTGCACAGGAGTTATGAGGGATGAGTAGTTTAGTGACGATGCACATTTTCTTCATCTTTTTCTCACATTTCCCTCCATCACCACTCAACCATGAAGATGAATGCCTCACCGTTGTCATAGTGACTGCAACAGCACCCTGCCCCTGACCCTTACGGCTGCCTCAAACCGGTACTTCTTACTCTAGATGCCTGAAGGGATTCTGAAAGACTGTCACAGCTTGTTGATGAGGCCGAACAGGAGGAGGGCATGTGGAGCACAGAGAGGAACTTTGGGAATTAGTTTTTATTCACCGAATGCAGTCAAAGTATTTTTTATTTAGCTTAAATCAATAATCAGATGGGGGGAAAAAAGAGCTGAAAAACTATGAATGATTGAGTCAAACTACAAAAAGGTTGTTTTGTTTTTTTTTGTTTTTTGCCAGATTTCTACATATTTATCTGTCACAATAATCACCTAATATAAAACTGTGCTCTACTTAAGAAAAGGCTCAGTTTGCCATAATTCCTTTTGAAACTCTAGACTCCTGACTTTCTTTAACTAAAACCTTTTTAAATCCTAAACTATCTTCATCCTCAATATGTCCCTTTTGATTTCTCTTCCATATCAATCCGAATGTGTATTGCTGCTCATTCAGCCATCTCATCCAGTGAGTCCAGTAAAAAGAGGTGTCGTATTATTTCGCTCTTGGTGTTCTGATACAGAGTTGTGTTAAGGTTGTGGGAGCACACAGAGGGCAATGGATAAGGCCGCCTGCGGCCTGCTGCTGTCATCAGCAGGTTTTTCTTGGCTGAACTGAAGAGTTTAGATAGCCCTCTGTATGTTTAAGATGGAGGCGCTCGTTAAGGAAAACCTCTTTGTGTGTGTGTGTGTAGGTGACAGAGGGGTGTATGGCAGGTAAACGGGATTCATAGCAGAGGTTTAGGGGCTTCGTGGGTCAGCGGATCCTCAGACCATTAGAGAGTGGGGTCGTGCCTCTTTGGGTCTGTTCTGTTTGTGTGTGTTAGTGAGGCTAGTCCAGGGGGTCTCTATTCTTTCTTTGGTTTAGAGAAGAGGGGGATGTTAGCAGGACCCCATGCTGCTGGGACCTGTCCTTTTCTTTTAGAATGGGACAACAAATAGTCGACACATTTGCTTTAGAGTGTCAGACGGGAGGTTCATTGTCTCGTAAGTGTTAACTTGACTGGACACAGGGCTTGTCCTGAATTATGAGGGCTTTGTCAACCTGAGCACTGACAGTACGCCTCAGACCAGTGTTTACCCACCAGGATGGTGTGTGATGTGTAGGAACAGTCACAGATTAATATGTTAAACAAAATTAAGTCATTTCTCTTCCCAGACCCCTCAAAGTTTACCAAACTATTAACATCAATCATTTGATCATTAGGTCACAGCCAACAGTAAACAAATAAACACAAATACTTGTTCATTAGTTTCTGTTGACAGGAGATGGAATAAGGATGTCTGATCATTTTTGGGTGTGTATATATTAAACTATGATTATAATGTATAAAAACGTTCCATCTTGAACAAGACAGAGGTACATTTTAAGAAAAAAAAACGTTCACAAACACAAAGCGTGGATAAAGAGGCGGAAATGGAAAAGAACCAAGAAGTATGACTAACTGTACTCTGAGACGAGCTGAACGTTAAATGTTTTTCACAAATTTGATCAATATAAGCCTTATTTTAATCAGAGAGTAGTCATGTTTGCCAGCTTGTTTTAAGACATTGACAGAATTTATAGTGATATAACGTTGCAATAAAAAGTTCTGAGCTGAAGAAAAACAGTATCAGTCAAAACGGCAAAAGCTTTCACCTTAGCTGTAATCTTTTAAAATGAATGAAGCTCCCACAAAAATCCTACAGAAAGCCTTACCACAGCAGTTTGCCTTTAGAACCTGTACAAATCCAAAGTACCCAAAACCTCTTATCTGTTATGCAGGCTTTCTAAGAAGATTGTATTGTCAACCTGACCATAAATGAACCCTGATGGTGAGCTTTTTTTTTTCTTTTTTATGTTTACGTTTATGCATTTGGTAGATGCTTTTATCCAAAGGGACTTACAGGGTAGACACAAGATTACATTTATCATCACTATGACAATAAGCTATACAGAGGAGAAACACTGATCAGAGTCAGTGGTGACAGCAAGAGATGGAGGTAGAGGGGACTACAGAAAGAGTTTTAGGGGGGATAGAGGTACGGGTTAGGTTAGGATAGGAGATGCTCTTTGAAGAGGTGGCTCTTCAAGAGTTTCTTGAAGACAGACAGGGACGCTGCTGTTTTAAACAGATGGTATTGATGGAAATGACAAAAAATGTACATGGAAAATACAAGTTGGCGTGACTATTTTACCATCACATGATCAAAAGTTTGGGAACTTTTGTCTCGGAGTGTAAATCTTCCCATTTTCTCTGGTTCGAAAAAGCATCTTTTTTTTTCCCCCTCACATTTTCCCACCTCTGGGCATGTTTTGTCTGTCCGACCTTTCTTTAATCTGCGCCACAATGAGGAGTGCATGTCTCGCAGTGGACGTGGAGCTTTTGTCTGCGTCGGCTTGCAGCCTATTGATCAGCCGTAACCCCCCTCTCCTCCTCGTAAAGTCTGCGTCTGTGTGTGATCTCTGGAGCTGTGCGCACACAGCAGCGGTCCTGCTGCCCGCTGGGCGGGCGGGAGAAACACCCGCACAAAGGCATTAAGGGAGCAGGGAGCAAGTTTTAAAGTTCGATTTTTGGCTCAACAAGTGAGTTAAGGGGCAGAAATAAAGCAGGGGAAAAGATAAAAGGCAGAAAAGAAGGAGAGGAAAGAGGGGCAGAAGCCCTTAATGTGGAACTCCTGCCTCCTTGTAATTTGCAGTGGGAGGAGGAGTCAGGGGGAGGGGAATACCCAGCAGGGAGGGAGCAGGAGAGAGCAGAGGCCATTCACTTTGACACACACACACTCTCGTGCAAACGCACACATGGACACTTCTAAACACACATGCACGTAGTGGATGTAGCTGAGTGGGAGGGAGAGAAGCATTCAGAAAGAGAGGCAGACGGAGGAGATCTTCAGCAAATTGCAGTGAGGGGAAAGAAAAGAGCCAGAGGAGTGTGTTCAGTGTGTGCTCCTGTGTGTTATGGAGCGGCGGACTCCACATTAACTCACAGGAGAGAGGATTCACAATGACTGGGAGAACTTGGGAAGTCTGATTTATTCTTATTTTTTCCCAGACGTTGCCAAGAATACTTTTTGGAATATTCTGGAAATGCAATGCTCTCTGAAAATCCTGTTTCCCCTCAAAGCTGCCTGTCATCATTTTTAAGAACTCTCCTCTCTGTTGAAGCAGGGCCAAGCCGCAATGCCTACCGGTAAGCACGAGCCGTTTTAGGGTTAAGTTCTCTTTTTGCATACTCAGCAGCATTTCCCGGCAAGTCCAAATTACAAACACAGGTTTGCTTCCAGGTAAAAGGGATCTCTTGATGTGGTGGATTATGCTGCCAGAGATGTTGCATATCTGTAAATCTCTTCAGAAGGGTCTGAACCATTAATCCCAAAAATGAATTTATGCTTTCTGTTTGGTAGAGAATGCACAATCCTCAAAACACTGTCCTTGATGTGGCCACTCGTCAGTCATCAAAGAGAAATACAGGATCTGCTTGTTGGTCTCTGGTGGTTAGGTTATTTATCTTGTTGCCTCCTTTGTATGGCGTGTGTGCGATATTTTCTCCTCAGCTGACAGCGCCGTGTGAAGTGTCTTTGCAGGGTTTGTCTAGGGGCAAAGCTGTTGCAGGAACAGCGTCTTGCTTGTTTTCTCACCCCTTGTGTTGACCGGTGTAAATTTGCTTTCTCGCAGTTAAATTCCTGATGACGCTCGGAGGATGTTGCACACAGCCTCTGCTCTTTGTTTACACTCCCTTTGGTTCTAAATTCTTCCCCTGTTGGCGGTTGTAGCAATAGTTGAAACTGCAACATTATTTATTTTTTCAGTATGATATACATGTCCATGAAAACTTCTTGCTATCCAGCTCTACATTTCTCATAAAGGCAGCATGTGTCCCTTTGCTTGGTGTGTTGAGATGCCATTCTGCAGCCTGTGACCTAAATTAGAGCCTTGAGGGCAGTAGCTAGGGGGTGGCTTCAAATGGGGATAGAGTGGAGAAGAGAGGAGGGGGAATAATTATTTTTTTAGCGCAAACTCTTTGGTGTAGAGTTTTGAGACAACGGGCTCCTACATGCTCCTCCTCCCACCCTGCTTGTCCAGTCCTCCTGGACCGAGGGCATCAGCCTCTGATCCTGAATGCAAAAGTGTTAGAAAATCTAGCTCTAAAAACAAAAAACAAAAAAAACAAAAAGACAAAACAAACAGAACAGTATTTTATTTTTTTTCAAACTTGTGACTGAGGGTCCACAGGTTTGGATTTTTGGAGCTTTAAGAGATGCAAAGTGGTGCTCGATTGCAGAAAGCCACTGAGCTGGGGCTGCAGTGAGTTTTTTTTTTTTCTTCACTTGTGTGAGCTGGAATCCAGTCAGGTCAGAGAATGAGGCTAGCATGTCACACTCAGAGGGAGGGCAAGGGTGTGTGCTGCAAGGGTCGCTCGCATGGGTGTCCCGAGGATGGGTGTGAAGCCGTGCGTGTCTGAAAATAGGGACGGCTTGCACTAGATGCTTTTCCCACTGCTCCGCACCGGTGCTGTGATCTAAAAGTGCCCTGCGCATTCCTCACTGATGTCCAGCAGTCAATAAGAGAGAGACTTTTCAATTCAGGCTGCTTTGATACTTACAAACATAATCTGTAAATTAGAGGTGTGAACGTGTAATCGTTTAAGAGGTTTGACTTTATCATGTAAAATAAACCACTGGTTAATTAGTCTGCCTGCTGAGCGTGTGTGTGTGTGTGTGTGTGTGTGTTTACTTAAGCCATGCTTTGTCAGGCCATTTAAGCCTGTAGTCTGTTAAATTGCACATAAAGTTTTAAGCATCACTTTTTACCAGCAAAGAGGTATGTTAACAGGTTTAAAATACTCTTAGGAGACTGTTTGAGTGCAGCTTCCCCCATGCCAACACATCAAAGAATGACTGTCTGTTTCCTCTTCTAACTCCATCCATGCTCTGAAATGTCTGGATTATGTATTCCCTGGCCCGTACTCCTCTTTGTTGGTCCAGGTGTTAATTCACTGGAAACCTCCTCCCGTGTTCCAACCCTACCCTTAGCCTCTGTCTGTGTCTCCAACCTCTGCCCCCTCTCTTCTTCTGCTTCTGCTCACTTCATTTTCTTTGGCTGCAGTGTGAAATCCAGAGCGACACTTTAAGGTCCTTAGCGTCAGTTGTGATCAAGACTATATCTTTATCAGAGATAGAGGCTGTGAATGTGGTGGAAGACTGGACGCAGGGGAGAGAAGTGGTCTTCTTTCTTTGTGTCAATTTGTGGGTAAAAGTTTGAACACAGTGAACTGGATGGATTGCCGGGTTAAGGCCTGACAAAACATAGAATTCGAAATGAGACGACGCGAGTGGGAAATGGAAAAAAACAAGGGAGTGGGTGGTGTTTGACCTTTGGCCTTCCTTCTCATCTTTTCTTCCTACTTTCATTCCTCTGAGACATCTCCTCCTCATTCCTCACTCTCTTGCAGTCTTGTCCCTTTACTTAAAGATGCTGCTAAAGTGCAAACAAAGACAGCCAGGCTGCGAGTCACAGAATGCTCTCACTTCTGTCATGGTTGCTCACATCGAAACATCCCTTGGATTTAGTTACTTTTTCAGAGCTCTTTGGCAACAGTTGGCAGCAGGCATGCAGCAGGGGCTGCATTAACTATAATCCAGATGCCATCTGGTTGGGCCGCTGCCATATAAACAAGAACACACGCATACAAACAATTCTGATATAAGGTATTTGTGCTTTGTTGAAGTGCAGGATAAAGTCTTGTCTTTGCCCTCACTCTCCTGAGAGAAAGCCTAAATCGCTCTCTCCATTTTTTGGTTCTTTCCCGATTTTTGCTGCTTTTTTTGAGATGGAGAGAGAGAGAACCAACAAATTTGTAACTTTTTATTCCGCAAATGAGCATTGTATAAATTATTGTAATTATTTAAGAACGTTTAGCTTTTAGGTGATTGGCATAAATCATATTTTTTAAATATCTGATTTTAGGCTTCCCACTAAGAACAATTGACCCCAAACGGCAGTTGGATATACTTATAGTGGGAAATGAAAGGCTGTAAAAAAGTGAGCTATGGTGGTCCGTAGCCAAAGGATGTATACAGGCTGGTTAATGTGTATTTTTACACAGAAAAGTATATGCTGGTAGAGGCATGGTCTGAGACCATAGGAATGTCCTGTGGAGCTCATGTAGCAAAGTTGGCACCATTATTTTCTGACATGCCAAATGGATTCTAAGTTTCAGTGTAAAGTATTGGAGGGAACAGAAGAATGACAGGAAAGGAAAAAGAAAATGGTCGGAAACAAGATGGAATTATTGTTTTTTTTAAAAGGAAAAGTGAATGAGGCAAATGTGAATAACCTTAGTCATGTAATGTTGTAGAATATGTATTTTTTCTAACAGAATGGTTTTGAGGAATGAAAACGATGTATGGGAATTATTTTTTGAGAAGGGAAAGATTGAAATAAAGGTTTTCCGTCTTGCCCTTCTGTTCCGTTTTCCCAACTATCAATCTTATTAAACATCTTATTAAGACTATTATAAGTAACTGCATGGTACTTCTATTTACTGGAAAAATAATGCTCCAAGGGGAACATCAAGTTTGGAGTCCAAGTTATTGCTGATCAGTTTCCTTTTCATCTCAGCAATAGCTGTCTGATGTTGTCTTTAGTCCTTTTTTGGGTTAGTTTTAGTGAGTATGGTTATTGCAAATGAAGGAACAGCTAATTTTCTCTAAAAAGGCTTGATTGGCCAAATTATAACATCTTGTTCTTTCATAAGATTCTCCAGATGTATCCAGACCAGTTGTGTGCTTTCAAACCAAGTGAAACATATTCGCTCGGCATTTGGAAAAGTCTTCTTTTTTCTGGATGAAACGCCCTGTTCGATAATCTTTCAGTGTTTTATTACTGAGGAATACTCCCTGGACGTTGCATAATATCGTTGTTGATGGAAAAACCAAAGTACAAAATGTCTGTTCAGCTGTTCTGCTCAAACCAGTGATTAGGGAAACCGCTCGAGTTAAAATAACCCAGGAAATAGTTTTACAATGGCTCTGCGTAAAACAACTGCACATGACGTAATGTTTTGACGAGACATTTTGTTTTGTTGTCTAAATGACTGCGTGAGATGTTCACATGTCCATTACAAAGCACTCTCAATGCTGTTGGAGCTACTTGTGAAGTTCATCAGGGCCATAAAGAAATGGCAGCGCTCACAGCTGTTTGCTGACCACTCTACGACTAAGAGCACTTCAGGTGACTATAAAGTGCGTGAAGTGCACCAGTTAAGTTTAGCATGAGTCATTAAACCTGGCTGGGCTGGAAGTGAGGCTTGTTGGACTGACTGGCATCAGTGCAGGAAGATCATCAGGCTTCTGTATCGGCGGCTTCAGCTCGTGGGTGTTCCAGTGGCAGCTGTAGATTACATGGTCAATAAAAAATAAAACGCATGTTTGAAAAAAAGATTATATGCTATGAAAGAGACAAATTCGGTCAAATTATATGCAGGTTTTGCTATTTTTTTTAGGCTTTTCTTGTAATGTTACACATGATACACATATAATGTTATACATGTCTCAAAGGCACAAAAACTGTTCACAATTACTTATTTTAATCAGTGATTTTATTTATTCATATAATTACGAGCGGAGACGAGGACTGAAGGATAGGTATGCCAAATACCCACAAAAAGTAGACACCAAGGTTTAGTCATGAATCCTCTCCAGAATTTGAACCGCAACGTAACTCAAGCAATGAGTTGAACAAAGGGAAAAGACATTTGGGAAAGCCCTTCCTGAACTGCCTGGGGAACTAGCCCTTAGAGGAATAAAAAGAAAGCTTGTCTAAAATGGTCCAGGCTAAATAAAAGAATAAAGGTACTAACACCAAACCTTTATTTTCAAATTGGCTGGAATTTCACAAATGCTGTCACTGCCCGATGTGTCATTTCCATTAATGCTGAAGTGTTCAGCACAGTATCCTGTGCATTAATCTCTTTCCTATTTTATGAAGAATTAAACTAAATGCGATCAGTCCATTGTTTTCTATTTTATTTGTTTTCTGTGTGGCCTTTCGTTTCGTTTCTCCTGCGTGCCTCTGTTTGCCCTCCGGTTGGTTCTGATGTTGAATATAATAGGTCGCTGCTCTTTGTCTGTTCGAGTTCAATGAAAGCCAGATTGAGGCCAGGTTGCTCAGACACTCGCTATATTCACTCTCTCCCTTCTCTGGCAGGAAACGCAGGCCTCACACACTATCCTAATCCTCATGTCCAGACTCGTGTGCACACACACAAACACACACAGGAGAAACAGTCCCAGCCTGCATGCTCGGGAGCATAATTAGAGATCATTTACAAGGATCAAGTTGAACATAATCTGGACAGGAGGTAACTAAAGCTTGGTCATCTTTGCTTTCTGTCTGTTTGAGTCTGTATGTATGTATGTGTGTGCGTGTGTGTGTTTGTACATATGTGTATGAAAGAGAGAGAAAAGAGCCAGTTCACCCAGGAAACGGACAGGGTGTGCCCCAAACATGAAGCTGGAAGGTGGGAAGGAGGGGCTGGACAAACACAAGATGGGGCAATCTCTCTGATGTTTGGATTTTTTTTGTTTGCTCTCCTTGAATGTGAGTGTGTGTGTGTGTGTACATTAACACGTGTGTACACTCTTTTCCCCCCTCTAACTTGCTGCAATAGCCAGTGTAAGGACCATTAAGTAATTAGCTTGGTTAGTCTTATCTTTAAAGTGATAAACGAAATGCATTACATGTTAAATATGCACCCACACTGTTAACTATTGTGATAAGGAAGATTTATCAAAGTCAGTGAACTGCTATTATCAGAGTTTACATACAGAGTGTCTTACAGCCTTTTAATCATCGTGTACATGAAATCGGCATGTTGCTTATTCCAAAGCAAGGGCTGTTGCTGTGCATGTGTTGTTTTTGCTCAGTAGATTATGTCTCCTTTCTGATCTTTAATTGTTCAAAAGTCAGACCTGGGAAGGCATTCAGTTGGTTGGACTCATGCACCCGCTCCAAACTGGTCTGAGGAAAATTCAGTTTCATACCATTTCAGTTTTTGCACACATCACTTCCTTCCTGCTTTTCTTGGCATTCGAAAAGCCAAATCCAAACTAAAGATGTGATGCAGTGTTGTTTTAAGCCTTGATTGCAAAACACTTCCCCATGAAGGGTAATGCGATGGGGAATTGACTCCATTTTGTATCTTTCTCCTCCAAAGATCGTACCGTGGAGGACAACGATACAGACATAGCTGTTGGAGCAATAGCAGATTTACATCTTATCCAATCATTAATACGACATTAGAAACTGATTAACTGTGTAATGTGAAATTGTTCACAAATGTCATGAGACGCTCTCATGAAACTTTTGTTGGCTTAACTTCACAGAAACTCTGAGTTCGTACTTATTTTTTCAAACTCTCAAAGCAGCCATGATCATATTTGAAAGCACCACCAGACAGCAAACAGAAAAATTAAGTGAACATCTGGGCCTTCCCACAAACGATGATTCTGAAAAATTGGTTGCGCCGTGTGAAATGAAAAAGTGAAAACAGATGTGTTGTTTTGTAAATCGATCAATCTTTTTTTTATTAGAAACAAGTAGCACGTGTGAAAAGTGTAGATGACGGCACTGATGGAGTGAAAGGTATGTGAGGTTTTCAACAAATTTTTATCGCCCCGTTTGACTACAAAATGTGGACTTTGTCTCAGAGACCTCAAATTCAGGCTCGGTTTCTCGATGCGGTATTGGTGCAGTGGAAGTCGGAAGAATCAAACCCGTGATCCTTTTTTATCTCAGACCAGTTTGACGAGTGCGGTAGCTCTCAAAAGAGGTGTTGCTTTAGAAAAAA